CATGAGAGGGAGCCGCCAGCCACTAGAGCCACCAGTCCCCATCCCAATACAGGTAGAGTATTAAATAAGTAACAATATAATTTTTCTTTTTCAAAAATTCTTAGAGCCAATTTTCAATTCAATACTCAGATACATGTATCTGAAAATTGACACTTGACAGTTCGTATATGGCACAAAATGGTAAAATTTTAAAATTTTGAAAGTTATCCAATACTTTACCTTTTTTTTGGGATAAATTTTACCATTTTGTGCCATATACGAACGGTCAAGTGTCAATTTTATTCTACAGTTAAGAATAAGTGATGATTGATAAATGCTTAGTAGGAACATAAAACAAATATGAATCTATATAACACGACATCTGTCCGACTCTTAGAGGAAAAATATGTGAATTTAAATTAAGAATGTAATAAAATGTTATTTAAATAACATTAATTTAAATGGAATACCCAGTATAACTATCAAAAAACAAATACAAAATAAAATAAACGTAAAAATGATTTCGAGCCAAATTCCAATTATTATTTGCATGCAAAATATTCAGTTGATAATAATATCTGGGTTTTTCGAAAACAATTTAAATAAATGTAATTACATTTTAATGGCATTGTGTTTACTGTTTACGAATAAAAGTCCAGAGTTAACGTGTCGTTGAAAAATTTTATAATTTAAATAAAATAAATATTATTTATTTTGTATAATAATGTGAATCTATTTTTACTTGTAGTTTTTATGGCTAAAAGTTAAATTTGGTCGATTTAGCTTAATTAGTTGCCAATAATCCAACCACATATTGTTACGGGAATATTATTGCTCGTTTAAAACCAAATTGAAGTTAGTATTGATTTAAAATGCAACACCACATACTGTCGAAAAAAACCAATAAGTACTGTATTTTTAATCAACTTTAGAAAGGAAAAAACAGCTTAGTTTGGCCTGTATACCTATTTGTTTTTTGAACTCGCGATTGGCTGAATTGATTTTGTAGCGGTTTCATAAAACTGTTTATAACTCGTAGGAGAAGGCTTCAAAAAAGAGGAGGTGATATTCGGATTTTTTTAACATATGTTATAAAATATTTTACATTCTAAAACCTTGTCACAAACATCAGGTGTTAGATTATCTGTTACATTACTAAACAAATTAAAATGATTATATTTATAAACTTAAATAAAACCAAAATAATTTAACATGTTGACAATCCTCTATGTATTAAAATATATCACCTTAAGACGGAGAAGTCTAGACGTCTACCACGTTAGCCTAATCAAATGGAAATCAGTTCTTCGAAACGTGTAATTGGAAATTTCTATTCCATTATACCCTTTCTCCTTTTCACGGCTACTTATATCGAGATTTACTACTTATATATATTTATACTTATATATATATATTTTGTTTTATACTATATAATCACTACATAGTATAAAAAAAGTCGCTATCTGCCGTCTGTCTGTCCCTATGTATGCTTAGATCTTTAAAACTATCCAACGGATTTTGATGGGGTTTTATTTAATGGATAGAGTGATTCTTAAGGAAAGTTTAATACATGAATATTGAACCCGTGCGTAGCCGGGACGGGTCGATAGTAATGTATAAATAAGCAAAAATAAAGACGACGACGTCGACGACGAAGAAATAAAGGATTGTAGCAACAAGACTCAAAATACTGGCACAGGGTGGGTGTACTTTTCTGATATTTCGCTGACTTGCATTTTTTTCTAGATGTTTCTGATAACTGTTGGAGCCTTGCCGATTACCCGGAGCCATTTGATCGTCGATATCATGGACACCCCTGTCTATATAAATCTAATAAGATATTCAGCGATTTTCAATATTCTCTGTCGGGCTCCCCAAAAATGTTGTTGCAAAAAACTCAACGTGGTTAGTGATGTACTCGTGATACCAAAGTCAAAGCCTTTCTTTCAATTAAATCATAATTTGGTACTTATGAAACGTCAACAAATACAAAATAAATAATTGTCTGTCAGTCAGTCCGTCAGTAAAGCTAGGTGAAGCTAGGTGCTCATTCCAAAATGTAGATTCGAATGGAGAATAACGAGCAAGAAACTCCATTCGTTACTCTTTTTAAAAAGTATGTTCTACAATGTCTCTGATACATATTCTAATACTGTACGTATATGTGAGAACAATGCAAAGACACGCTTGACGCATTATACTAATTACAAAACTTACTAAAATAGAAAACCTCAGGTATAGTATACTTCAGCACCACCATAACTACCTTAGCTCCTTAGAGAAGGCCCACTAGACTGTCCAGTATCTATAGTTGTTATTGATGATGATGATCGGTAGTAAATACATTTTATAGAGGAAAGTTTAAACTTAACAGTATTAATTATCTTTTACAGCTAACTCCGAAAGTCATTTATATGGATGCATAGCCACGTCTTAGCTTCAACATTATTTTTTATCCTAACAAGAAATTCATACTCAGATTGTTACAGCAACGAGTCAGTCACAATACTCCAGCTAATTCGTCACTCATATTCCTGAGCTGCTCAACTCGACGCGTATTTATTGTTTTGGCAATCAACTTGAAAGCGTTGCTACAACTTTCTGTTCCACATCACGCTGCAAGTTACACGTTACATCACGAACAAAGCGAAGTTTGTGATACAAGCCGTTTGTTTTCAGTTACAAACGAATATTTTTCTTGCGAATTCGTACGAAGGCTCGGATTATAGGCTCTCGTAGTGTATTTTGAAAGATTTGTGTGTGTTTTTTTTTTAGTTGTGTTTCAGTAAAACGTAATAGTAACCAGCTATAGCACAACCTCCTTTCGTCAACTAAGCTATCAAAAGATTTTAGATAAATACCATAATTATTTTACTCAAATTTTATCATTTAATATTAACTATGGCGATATATTAAAGAAGGGCCAAATTAAAAGTACCCTTAACCGACGAGCATGCTAGAAAATATTGGTGACTGTTGATGAAGCGAAAGAGATATATAGGAATCGTAGTAATTGGCGTTCCATAGTCTCTGCCTACCCTCATGGGAGACAGGCAGTTATGTATGTATGTACTTTAACCGCTTGAATGCACCGCTATGAGCCACAATAGAAAATATATTATGTCTCGCGTGGATCCGCGTCTAGACACACGAAAGGTTAATGGTAAATGCTAAAATTAGACACAATACATCCAAAATTCTATATTTATTTAAAAAAAATTCTCTAAAAATGGACTTCCTCGTAACATTTTGTCAAGACAATATCCGAACATAATCCTGCTTCGGAGAAAAATAGCTTTTTCTCGGTACAAAACGTGGAGGGTCAGAAGAGGTCATTTTTTTCTTTTGATTAAATTTGTTGCGAGTTATAAAACAATGCTGGCAGTACCCTGTGTTCTCCCTCGGTGCCCGTCGAAGTGATCTTCAAGAGATTGGACACGAGGAATCTTTTTAAGTACCTACGCTAGGAAATAAAATAACTAGTGTTTAAAAGAGGACTTATATTTTCCTTGTAAAATGAGATATGAAATTGGTGCTTAGATTTTTTAATGTATATTAACTTGATAGTCGATTTCTATGTCGTCTATATTGTCTAAATACGTATTTATAATTTTATTGTATAGCACATTTAGTTTTGTTTCATACCATATTAAAGAGTGTAATGACAGCTCGCCCTTTTTTATAAGTCGCGGAGAACCTAACGGGTTACCGGGGCTCCGGCTCGACGTGCAGGAGAAGGAACGGGGTGGTTTTTAGTCAGTAAGAGTCTGACACTCTCTCCCGCCTCACCAAGGCGGGAGCAGTCATTCGATGATTTTCCCCCTTAAAAAAACCCTTTTTATAACTATCGTATGCTAAGCATACATATTAAGCTAACAAACATGATGTCATAAGTCAAAGACCTATCACTAATGCAACCAAGTGTTACCATACCCTTTGTTCATGCAACAACAAAACAAAAGAAAAACTACTTTATCACCAGACTAACAAAGCATCTATTACACTAACATCTACATCATAGAAGGCTAAGGTTTCAAAAACATTACCCTTGTATAGATGACTAAAGACAAAACTTGTTCCCTAGCTCAGACGCCAGCAGGTTAATCTACTCCTTTCCGTCAAGTTAGATTTTGAACTGTAATGTTAGGGTATAAAATCGAAAATCCAATGTTGGTATTAATAGATAGATTAGGGTAGGTTAACCTGTTGGCGTCTGTGTCTATATAACATCAAGAAGTCTTTGTAATATGATATATATTTCACAAAAGGTGCGTAATACTGTTAAGTAAAGTTTTCCAAGCTTTGTAACGTGTTAAACACTTGGTAGTTTAGATCTTGATAAACTTTATAGCATAAATTGAGGTTGTGTTAAGTTCTTACTATGGGTTTAATGATGTGAATTATAGTCTAGTTTGTGATACAGGCTATCATTTTCTGGTTTTATATACGCTATCACTTTACATATCGATAGCTGGAAGCTTACTCTTGAATCAAATTTCGAACGATCGACGTAGATATTATAATTATTGTGAAATTTCGTCAAAGCATTTATTTCAATTAAACCATAATTTGGTACTTTTGAAACGTAAACAAATACAAAATAAATAATAATCTGTCAGTCTGTCCATCAGTGAAGCTAGGTGCTCATTCCAAAATGTAGATTCGAATGGATAAGAACGAGCAAGAAACTCCATTAGGTACTCTCCTAAAACACATAATTATGTTTAACAATCTTTCTAGTTTTACTCTTAATTCCCAACATTAGCGGCCATTGCAACCGTATTGCGTGGATACTGAATGAACTAAATCCTATTGAGTTTAGCTTTATTATATTCCGTATTCTGAATGCTATTTTAAGAGCTACGATTAAGGTTGTATAGTGTTGACATTGAATACCTAATTATTAAAATTTTATTGGGTTGACATCGAATTCATATTATAGTAAGCTACTGATCTCAAAGCACAATCCTTACAATGTTATTCTACAAAATCACTTATTTTCTAACATTCCTTGTCCACAGGCTGTAACAAGACTTACTACGGTGATATCGGAAGAACATATGAGCTGGAATTACATCGTCCTCGCGAGGGTCTGGTTCCTTACGTCTGTCTCCTCACTATCACAGCTGCTGGCGGGATACATGGTGATTTGGTGCAGGTCAGTGACCTTCAATGTTGATGACATAAAATATATTTAGGGGAGGGTAATTGGGCCTCCGCTAACCTCACTCACACGACGAAACACAACGCGAGCGTTGCTTCACAGCGGTTTTCTGTGAGGCCGTGGTATTACTCCGATTGAGCCGGCCCATTTGTGCCGAAGCATGGCTCTCCCACACTTACATTAATACGTTGTGTACAAATACATAATGTATTACGTATTGTAGACATTCCGTGACAGTCAACCTTAGGGTGATGAAGAGGATGACGGCGGCACTGTGGCCACGTGCCGCCGTGCACTGTACAGAGAGGCTCTAGGAGAGACAAATAAGTCTCCAAAGGGAGGTGCCGCCCAAAATGCTTGGCGCCTTTTGACAATTTCCCCCCGTCAACAAAAAAAATAGGGTGATGAAGAGATTTAAGACCATAAGTGATTTTCTACAACACGAAGATGATCTTATGTACATAAAAAGAAATAATGACTTAATTATTATGTTTTTTCGGCTTACTCGCGTAATTATTTGACGAGGACCTCGACTATTTTTAAGTGCATGGCTTAGAGGCTGAGCAGCAAACCGTGACGTGGCTACTACCGCGCTGCTACAGCTGTCAGTGCTGCTCATGAATATGAGCCTCCAGCATGGCTTGAAAGTAGTCGAGTTCTACACCAAAAAATTACGATAGTACGCCTAAAAACGTAACACCTAATTTAAAATGTCTCACGAATGTTATATTACAAATATGAAATAACGATGTTATAATATAAATTTATAATTTATATGTAAGACTAGCAGACCGTTCCGGCTTCGCACGGGGTAGACAATTATTTATTTTTGGCAATTTGGATTGTTGTAGTGACATAACTACAATATTTGGACATATGCTACCGCGGAGTTTTTTATAGACATTATGATGTTCTTCAATATTGTTGTACATTATTTTGTTCTATCGCTAATAGTTTCGGCAGCGCATTCGACGAAAGACATTTTAAGACTCATTCTTCTACACCTTCGGTTACATTGTTAAAATTTTACCAAGGATCCCTAATTTTTTTCAAAATGAAATGTAGCCTATGTCAAATTGGAAGAATGTAGCATTCTATTGGTGAAATAATTTTTTAAATCGGCCCAGTACTTTTTGAGCCTATTCATTACAAACATACAAAAATAGGTACAAACCTTTCCTCTTCATAATATTAGTATAGATATAGATATAATATTATAAGATACAATGCCTGCAGTTTCAAAAAGTTCAAGGTATCTGTTTCGTTACACTAACGCAGCTTGGTGTGTGTCTATCTGAACGTCTAAGTATAATTTGTAACGAAATAATATTAAATTTAAGCTTCTATACATAATCAGCCGAAATTAATGTAATATCGTAGGAGTACTTGTTAATATTTACTGAGAACATTTTAACTTTGATAACTTAGTCTTTCATCGCGTAGAAGCTGCTCTAATTAATTATATTACGACTAACTGCCGACACTATTGACTTTATGTTGCAAAAATTTCATATTTTCTGGTCTATTTCTTTTTCATGTTTAATAATTATGGCATTCAGGCTGATTCTAAGGTTAACTGGGACTGCCTCGTTGGTCGAGTGGTCGCAAGTGCGACGGCCGGGCAAGGGGTCTCGGGTTCGATTCCCGGGTCGGGCAAACTACTACTGAGTTTTTTTTTTAATTCTCGGTAGTAGCACGGAGTCTCGAATTGTGTCCGGTACACGGCAATAGGCTTACTCCCTTTATCATAGCACTCATAACATAAATAGAGAAAAGTGGGTGTTATATTGTATAGTGGCATTAAGTGTCGTAATGTGCACCTCTGCCTGCCCCTATTGCCCTACCCCTATTTTGTCTTTACAAGAAATTTCAAAAAGGAAATATCATCTTTTTTGATCATAGATTAACATATTAAGCTCCTTGTAAAACCATTCATAAGAAGCTATAAATAAAGCACATTTTGGGTAAAAGGAAATGTATGTTAGGTAAACAGCACAGGTTTTCCTGTATATACCCCAAGGGTCTTATAGGAAATTTACTTTGTTCATAGGGAACCTCAATTCTTATGGGATTTTATGTGGCTGACATAAAAGTGGGCGGTACTTGTTTATATATTACTGTGTTACAGTCTTATGGGAGTAGTACTGAATGAGTATCTGCTGCTATCCAGCTGTACATCAAAAAATACTTCACCTATGTTGTTAAAGGTGCTCCCACACAGCAGTTATCTAAATGTGTTATATCACATTGTGAAACACGAGATAACATTTTGTAACATCACTACATATTATAAAACAAAGTCGCGATCCGCCGTCTGTCTCTCCCTATGTATGCTTAGATCTTTAAAACTACGCAACGGATTTTGATGCGGTTTTTTTCAAAAGATAGAGTAATTCTTGAGGAATGTTTATATGTATAATATATACATATTGCACCCGTGAGAAGCCGGGGCGGGTCGCTAGTACTCTATCAGATATCAAAATGGATAGGTACGTGTTCATATCCCAAGTCTGCAGTGAAATGGTAAAATAATGTGTGGGTATCATGAAAATGTGGGTAACAGATATCATCGTTATATGATATTTTAAACAGCTACAAATCCCTGTGGTTACACGTTTCATTTCAGTGCATTACACTGGTCGTCAATTAATTAAAATATTAATGATGTCAATTTATCACACATTATAGCAGGGATTTCGTCTGTGTTGTCGTGATAAAAGCATGTAAAGTAAAAATGAAAATTAACATTTACACCATGGATTATCACAGTTGAAAATGACCAAATGTCAATTTTCACTATATCAATTGCACTTAGTTTCTTTCACTTACGTTTTGAATTCTGGAAAGATTTTTATAGCGTTGTAGTGAAACAAGTGAATTTATTTCTGCAAATAGGCTACAAGGCAGCACTTTTATACGTCAATTTTATCAAGCGAACGATGAGGTCGACATTTCCTAACTGACTACTCTGAGAAGAAATGCCGAAACAAACTCAGAGGTCTGTCTCTTTAAAGTCCAGACAATATGTATTAGATATTAGGTAATAGGTAGGGAGGTCATCGGTGGCCGGAGGTAGCCGAAGATTTAGCTTTAAGTTTCCTGGTGGCAGTCAAAGGCTTAAATGACAGTCCACAAGAGTAAAGTTAATAATTCAACGGAGAAGATAACTTTAGTTTCTACGTCTATTTTACATGTTACACCGATAAGAAAATATACTTTTTTTTTATTTACATACTAACTGTCCCCGTTTAAAAAATACGAATGATAAGTTTTACAAGCACTAGTAGTACGACTTTAAAGAAATTTGGCTAGCGAATTGAGGGGTTAGCGTACTAATCTAACGCTTAAGTTATGTTTACGTTTTACGAAACCGCGTTCGGTGCTCTGATTGGCCGCCTCCAATGAACCAACCAATCAGAGTGCCCAACACGGTTTCATTTCAATCTCCTTAACGATAAAACTAATTCGTAATAATCCATCTCTGCTAAAAAATGCTAGTTTATACGAACGACCAATTTTAACGTTCTACACTATGCTCCCTTTATCTTTTGTTTTCCTTACCAACACCCTTTCATAATATACGAAGTCGGCTGTACCAAAAATATGAAGCGAAATGTACTCGAGCTTTTTAGGGACCCACGGAATGGGCAGAATATGAAAAATGGCCTGTCAGAGATGTCGTTTTATACCTACCTTTGGGTACCTATAGTCACCCCCTTCTCCCTATTAAGGGTAGGGCACAATGTGGGCTGTGACGTAGGTAGATATTTATATATTGTTACAATGTTTTAAGTTTGTTTCGGTTCTGTGTCACTGCGGCTTGTCTTGCTGTTACTTTTCTATATTTATTACATTGTGTTTTGAGAAATTGATATTATACGTAATATTATAAAAGCAGATGTAGGTGTTAACCATAAGTAATATCATTTCGTGAAAGCCATATCGTTTTTTGCGCCCACGATTGACACCAACGATGTATCTATAAGAATGAAAAAAAATATCTTAATGTAATCTATTTTTCCTTGAAATTGTAAGTAAAGGTATACACCATCTCTTTTTTTCACCTGTGACCATCAAATGGTAGATTATTTTAAATCATTAGACACGTTGTGTTTATTTTCTTACAGAAACGAATACTTTCGATGATAAATTGATTTGAAATGTCGCGTGACGTCACTTCTATGTAAATTTTATGAGTAGAAATGACGTTTTAGCCCCCACTCCTAAACTTTGATTTATTTTATTTAAGTATTGTTTTATTATATGACAAAATAAAAAAATACCTATGTGTCTAATTTTTTTTTCATTTAACTTACAGTCTAATTAAATTTTTAATTTTCATATCCAGTCATCATCCCAATTCTGCTATAATTTCTTACTATTTTATACCTTTTATGTGTATAAATACTTAACTAAGGTCCGATTTCTCAATCAACAGGATATTTTTTTTGTACAATAAGTTATCTGGCATTGGAAAAATCGTTTCAAAGTACAACTAGAATCAAGAACTAGCTTATTGCCAACTGCGCACAAATGTCACGCACACTGAGGTGCCCTGTGGTCGTGCATTGTGCGTTGGGTTCCGTTCCATACAAAAAGGTTGATCGAGACGATCGCTGACTCATGCGTTCGGTTGACAATAAATGACTTCTGTGAAAGTAGGTCAGTGCTATGGCAAGTTGGTAGATAGGTTTCTATCAGGTCAACTTTATTTTAACTCGTCGAGTACCGGTTTTGTAGACACAGTTATAGAACAATAGGTTGCGGTCACCGGTGACCGCTTGGTGTGTGACAGTTCAATAACTAATTTAATTGGTTGTTTTATTTGGAGAGATAAAGGTTCTTTGTTGTGGATTGTGACGACAATTTGTTGAGGAAATTTTTCTTCGTTTTGGTGGTCGCAGAGTTTAAATCTGGACTCGATTCTCGTGACGGACAAAGTATTGTTCAGGCATTCGATTTTTAGGTAGATATATATTTTTATAATAATATGG